ACCTGGGGTTGAGGAGGGGTTTGGTTCAGCAGAGAGGGAAGGGGCGTAGGTAAAGGTGGAGGGGAAGAGTGACTAGAGAGAGGTGACGAACGAGAGGGAGGCAGAACAGGGAGAGGAATTTGGGAAAAAGAAGGAGACTGCTGGCAGGAGGGTATGGTGGCATAAGGAAAAATATGCGGCTCAAATTTGACATGTCTGGAGTGATAGACCTTCCCATCCGCATAGTCATAACATTTGTACGCAGATTGGGAAGTGCTGTAACCAAGGAATAAACACGGGGTGGAGCGGGGAGAGAGTTTAGTGTTGTGGTAGGGACGTAGACATGGATAGCACAAACACCCAAATGGTTTAAGTTTGTCATAGTTTGGAGAACAGCCCAAAAGCGCTTCATGAGGTGACCGGTTAGAAAGGATCGGAGTGGGTAACCGGTTGATAAGATAGACAGCAGTGTGAAACGCATAGGACCAGAACGTCAAAGGAAGACCAGCAGTATGCAATAGGGACATACCGGTTTCGACAATATGACGATGACGACGTTCAGCTGTACCATTATGCTCAGGTGTATACGGTGGAGTAGTAAAGTGAGAGATCCCATGAGAGTTGAACATGGGAACAAGCTTAAGGAACTCACCACCGTTATCGGAGAAAACACTTTTAATGGAGCGTTGAAAATAGTTTTCCACTAAATGTTTGAACTGAGGAAAAATGGAAAGCACATCAGATTTACGAGCCAACGGATACCACCATATGTATTTAGTATAATTATCGACAAAGACAACATAATAGTAATAGCCATCCAAAGAACACTGAGTAGTACTCCAAACATCAGTATAAAGAAGATCGAGAGGAGCACGGCTGGTCATAGTGTTGACAGAGAAGGGAAGTTTATGACTTTTATTAATATTACAAGAAGAACAAGAAAACTGAGAAACATTGGAAAAGTGAGAAAAGGGCGGACAACTACGAACAACACTGCTTAAGATTTTATTATTGGGGTGACCCAGACGATGATGAAGATCAGCAACGGAAGAGACCGCAACGGAGGCAGTGTTCACGCACGGCTCAGACGAACGGGGCAGATAATAGAGATTATTTCTGATTGCTCCCCGAAGTAGAGGCGTCCCCGTATGCACATCCTTGACAAAAAAATGATCAGAAAAAAATTCAACCGAAACACGATTAGTGTGACATAATTGAGATACGGATAAGAGATTATTTTGAAGAGAAGGAGCACACAAGACATTAGACAGAGTAAGTGGACGAGTACGGGTACATAGAGTGGAACAACCAGTGTGTGAGATGGTTAAACTCTTACCGTTACCCAAACGAATTTCATCCGGTCCACCATACTCCATGAGAGAATTTAGCGATTGGGGATCATTGGACACATGATGAGAGGCGCCACTATCCACAATCCACTGAGTGTCCACCGGTCCAGCAGCCCTAGTAGACACCGCAACATTAGCAGCAGGGCCGTCTGGACGGTGAGGAGCAATGGTGATGTTGTTGTCTCGTAAAAACCGCTGAAGCTTCCTGCAGAACTTGGTATCATGGCTCGCCAAATCACAAAACTGACAATAGCGGCCACCACGATTTGAATTGATGGTACCTCGTCCACGCATGCCTCCACGAGAGACACCGAAGTGACCACCACGACCAAAAGCTCCGCCACGATCACCATTGCGCATGCGCTGTGCATGATTTGCCGTAGGAATAAGGTCCGCCGAGGCAGCAGACCGGCTAAGAATTTCACGCTCACAGTCCTTCAAGATAGTAGTGAGATCATCAATGGAGATGTCAGTGTTACACCCCCGCAGCGACTGGTAAAGGGCCGAGTAGTCCTCACCGAGTTGAGACAGAATATGAACCGAGAGATCCTCATCTGTCACCGGACTGTTGGCCAAGGCAAGGTCGGCTGCAATAGCCGTCATATCCGCAACAAAGGCTTCAATGGAACGATTTCCGCGGGGATTTTTTGCCAATTGAGATTTCAACGAAATAATCCGACCGCGAGACATGTTAGCAAGGCTTTTGGCCAAACAAGACCAAGCATCGGCTGCGTTGTCAACGAGAGAGATCAGCGGCTGGACGAGATCTGTACAACTTCCAAGAATAGCGCTGAGAAGAATCGCATCCTGACGATACCAAAGGGTATACGCAGGGTTCGGCTGCGTGTGGGCAGCGTCAAGAAAGGGCGATGGCATTTTAATCGAGCCATCGACGTAACTGAGAAGATCCAAACCAACGAGAGTAGTCTGAACTTGACGGCGCCAGACAAGATAATTGGTTTTGGTAAGCTTGATCGGAAAGTGCTTAGAGGCGGACATCCGTATGAGACCTGATAGAGGCGACAAGCCAGAATCAGGAGACTCAACGCTGGAAGAAGACATCGCCGATTGTTTGGAAAGAGAGGAAACGCGCGGATGCGTAAGGCACAGGAGAAAGAAAAAACAATCTGTTTAAAGAAGGGGCTCCGATACCATATAGAAGGCAAAGTATTGATGAATGATTGATTGTTATCATTAACAGCTGTAGGAGTATTTATATGCATACAGAGACTAACTAACAGATGCTACATACAAGGAGAGCCAAGCCTGCACATGTGGATCGGAAGAGAAGAAGTCAAAAGCTAAATACATGGGATAACAACAGATTCAAATATTCAAAACCATCCTTAGCTATTTATCCTTAATAAGCTACACCACCTAAATGCTATGAATGTGGAGAGATAGGGCAAATCAAGCCTTATTGTCCTAAGTTGAAGCAAGGGAAGGACAAGAAGATCAAGAAGAAGCAAAAAGCATACATCTCATGGGAGAGTGATCATTCATCTTCCGAAACAAGTGATGAGGATGAGGAAACAACAAATCTGTGTCTAATGGCTACCGAGGAAGAGGTATCTTCTAATTCTTTTTCAACTCCTTTATCATCTTCAAGTGATTGCTTTTCATTGGATGATTTACATAGTGCATTTAGTGATCTCTATGGTGAATTTCTCAAATCCACCAAAGAAACTAAGATTGCCAAAGAAAATGTCACATCTTTAGAAGCTCAAATAATTGAACTTAATAAGGAGATGGATTTATTGAAACTTGAAAATAAGAAATTTGGCAAGGTTAGTATTGACACTCCTTGTGCACAATGTAACATCCATGAAATAAGGCTAGCAAGGACATGCACTTTTTAGTTCAACAAGGTCAATATAATAGAAATGGATTAGGATATAAATCTAAGGGACTTAAGAAAATGAACTTCGTAAAAGAAGGAGAAAGACCTTTGGATACAAATAATTCTAGGGATAATTCACAACGAAAATTTATTAGTAATCCTAAGAAGACTCAATCTAGAATAGCACAAACCCCCACTACTTCTAGGATGAAAAAACCTAGTGAGTCTAGGAATTACGTTGATCATAGGTTCACTAGACAACCTACACAATATCCTAGAAATAGACAACCTAGCAATTTTAGGAATGTAAGGAATGCACCTAGACAACCTAGCAAATTTAGGACACATAGGAGACACTCTAGTCCATATAGATATATGTATGATCCTAGAGTTGTTTGTCATTTCTGTGATCATGTTGGACACATAGCTCCTGTATGTTTTAGGAAGCTTAGATTGATTGCTAAGAATAGGAAGAGGGCACACATTGATATTTATGATGTTCATACTAACTATCAAGGACCCAAAAAGATTTGGGTGCCTAAAACCCCTAATTAAATAATTATACAGGCGTGCTTGAAGGCATCAAGTGTACTATGGTACCTTGATAGCGGATGCTCCAAGCACATGACCGGAGATGCATCCAAATTTGTTTTTCTAAAATCAATTGATGGTGGAAGTGTCATATTTGGCGACAACAACAAAGGAAAGATAATTGGAACCGGAACTGTTGGCAAAAACAAAGCTTCCGGAATTGAAAATGTGTTGTTGGTCGAAGGCCTCAAGCATAATTTGCTTAGCATTAGTCAATTATGTGATAAAGGTAACCGTGTTATTTTTACTTCTAATCATTGTATGGTCGAACGCCTTTGTGATAACAAGGTTATCCTTACCGGCGATCGCATAGATAATATTTACATGATCAACCTTGAAATTACTCCAACTGACTTTGCTCATTGCCTCATTACTAAAGGGGAAGAGATGTGGCTATGGCATAAAAGAATTGGTCACACCAATATGGAACTAATTAATAAATTAGTTTCAAAAGACCTAGTAATTGGTGTTCCTAAACTCAAATTCGAAAAGGGAATTTGTGATTCATGTCAAAAGGATAAACAAGTAAAAACCTCTTTCAAATCAAAGAAAGTTGTTTCTACTTCTAGACCATTGCAGCTTTTGCACATTGATCTCTTTGGACCTTCTCGAACTATGAGTTTAGGTGGTAATTACTATGCCTTGGTTATTGTTGATGACTACTCTCGTTATACATGGACCTTATTTCTTTCTCACAAGAGTAATGCACCTTCATCTTTTCG